TAATTTGGCATTTCCGTTCTTAAGGATGATTCATGGTTCACACATCTTGCATTCAGTATTTTCTCTTACCAAGTTTTCTCTGGAAAATAAAATGTCTACCACTTGGAGGGTGCTCTTTAGTAGGTTGAATGTTCTTAAGAGTTTGTCTTTATCATGGCAAGGATCCTGTGATCCTCTACCAGTGTAGTCTCGTGTGACCGTCTGGGTGTTTTTATGTTATCTTTTTAAAAAGAATTCTCAATATGCACCAGATTGATGTTGATTTGGTCACTTCTAAGGTTCCCGATATCTGATTAATTTATTTTGGCAGCTTTAGGATTGTCTGTTTCATTTGCACTGTGGCTTTCAAATGTAAAAACATCTTTTTGAATCAACTCCAGACCTTTACCTTTTCCATAATTTCAGTATAAATAATGAAAGAAAAGTAACACCAGTCCATGACACAATTTTTTATTGACTGTCCACTTGCTTCCAGTCCATGCGAAAGTGAGGCTACATTTAAAAACGTGTAATTATTTAAGATTTCGTCCAACTTGTTCATAAAGATGCTAAAATTAAAGAAAGTTTGAGCGATTTCAATTTCAAACTGAATAAACTGAATAATAGTGTTCAAGGGAAAAATTTCCTGAATGATGTCCCCAAGTCGAGCCTTTCTGATGTGTTCGGGTCAAATCTGACTGATTTACAAATTAAAAAACTCATAAATGTTGTGTTTTACATCCAATTGCCTCGAGGCCTTATGACATCCTCGTGCACAGTGAACACTTTATATGTTCACTGTGCACGTGAACATATAAAGTGATGAGCACCTCTTTCGTTGAATTTTGAGTGTTTTTATCAACGTTGTTACATCTGTTGTGTTACCGGTCAAAGGTGACCGCCATAGAAAATGAATGGAGACCCTCTTTGGCCTCTGACCCCCTGAATTATCCACTGAATGGCAAAATGAAAAACCCACTTTACGACCCATTGACCCACCCACTGAACTGAATTTGGTGGTGAAAAATGTTTCTTATGTTGTTAAAACAGACCGGTCAATTGTGACCGGAGCTCTAAAGTAAGGGGTGGGGGTGAACACAACAGGAGGGCTAGAGCTGTCATTCACAGCTGAAGCTGAAATATGTAGAGTATCCCTTCCTAACTTGGTGTTTTTGATCTATACTGCAACCAGCCACCTAACCTATAATGATACTGTTTGCATTTTACTCATTGATATCTATTTCCTATGAAAGACTTTGAGATGCACCCATTTATAGGGTATATATGACTGATACTTGCATTGTTTAAATAAAGAGAATTAAATTATTTAGAATAAAAAGACCATTGTGATCGGTGCACCCCTAGAAGAACATCAGTAATGATACACAGTTCAAACTATAAGACAGAAAAGTGAACTAACCATTGTACTTCTGAGGTTTGAGAAATCAGGTCAAATTACTAAGCAGTACACAAGCTTCTGTTGAGTAAAATAAATGCTAAATTTCTCATGACAGGAACAACAAGAACAATGGAAACAGTGCAGGGGTGCTGGAAGGTCTTTGCATGTGTGAAAACCAGTTTGTGCTTTGTGGTTCAAAGTGTGAAAAAACATCTCTGCAGTACTTCAGATGTCTAAACTCACAGTATGAGCTATCACACCCACCCCCTGTATATATGTGCATTTGCTAGTTTTTCACAGAACAAAACAGGGACTGACCATCTTTCAGGCTCTGGACCCATCGACTTCTGCTTTCATGACTTGGAGCAAATACATAGAGGGTGTTGGTATCGTACACCACCTGGACACAAACACACAGATCTGTCTGCTAACACAGTTTTATGTAGATTTCAAAGCTGTATAGGCATGGTTTAATCTTACAACAAAACAAGAAGCAGTCTGAAAGCTTAAACATACTTAGGAGGTTCATAATGCAACAAGAATAACACACCTCAGACTCAACTTGAAAAAAAAAAGGCAGATGTGAAATGTAAAAGTGTGGTTACAGGTTAAATTTGGCATAATAATTGGATGTAAACTATAAAGTGATATTTAAAATCCCCATATACCAGTGTCATTTCCTAAATGTTCCTGATACAAACAGAGTAAAATTTAAGCATTTAAGCAAGTTTGAGCTTATTCTGCCTTCAAGAAAAGGTCAGAGGTCCAAAACGATGTAATATTTTAATTTGTATAAGGGGCTTAGCAAGAAAGTGACTGGACTTCTTTAAGTTTCTTGAAGACGTTTCACCTCTCATCTGAGAAGCTTCTTCAGTTCTCAAACCAAATGGTGGAAAGTCCGAGTTGTCCCCTAAGAGGGACGTTGACCCACTATTGGTCAATTCAAGAACGGTACTGCATTTGTGTCTATTTGCATTACGACAGTGTGCATATAAAGAAAGAGGTCTCTCTGGTTGCAGGTGAGAGTGTGGTAGTGTGTTTGTACCTGAAAGGGGTATTTGTTCTGGCAGGGGATGACCCCTCCTCCATTCTTGACAATCTCCACACATCTGATGCGACTCACTTCGATGGAGCCCCTCTTGAACTTCTTCTGTTGATGCAAACATCATGTCATTTTTTAATGTTTGCTGTCTTTGTAATATTATCCAACTTGCAGTCTTATACACGTTGACATTTTGTGCTGACATAGCATATTTGCACATTAGCAGTATTCAAATGATTGTTGAACTAATTTGACATGTAACTCATTTCCTTCAGCAGAATTTTTGATTTAAACTGGGATAAGAGCCCTGTATGCAGCTGTGTGGGCATTCCTGGAAAAACTGAAAGTGAACACTCAGCTTAAAACAGGGTGTTGCTACCTGAACCAACGAGATGTTTAAACAGACATTTTCAGTTTCACAGTTGAAGGGCATAAATCATATTAAAACAATGTAGATTGATGACACTTTCACACCTGTGCAGTACAAATGAACCAGAACCATTAGCTTAACTTAATATAAAAAGAGATAAATGACTATTCTGGCTCAGTGTAACATTAAAGAGCTACTGCTGACTCAAATGACTTCAATGTTTTTTGATGAAACACCCACATGTAGCTGCTATTTATTTAACCAAAAGGTTAAAAATCACCATTTCAAAGGTTAAAAGTCAGGAGAAAAAAAAGGTACCACAAAAGCAAAATTACAATATGGACCAAAAAGAGAAGAAAAGTCATTTTTTAAAAGACAATATTTTGATCCAAAGTATCATGCATGAAAAACTGGTATAAAATGACCAAATGCCAAAAAAAATTGGTATAAAAAAGATGCTTTTCTTCCCTGGAAGTTAGATTTCTGCATCAT